CGTGGCTCTAGCCAGCGTGTGTCAAGATCGACCAGGACTGCCGACCGAGGCAAGGAGGAATCTGACCTACGGTCTTTCCTCAACCGCAACCGTGAGGGTTGAACCCGCGATGCGGAAAGCGATCCCCAGATAACTTCGTTGCGTCAGATTGAGGAACTACTGCGAGCCTTGGATCAGTTAAAGGCTTAGCGAAATGAGCAAGTGTTAGCCGCCCCTCTCTCGTCAACATTTAGAATGCCCGACATGCGAGCATTCGATGGGAATTCTGATCCGCAAGATCATTTGTACAAGTTCAACGACCTCATGGAACTCCATCAAGTCTCTGACTTGGCAAAATGCCATTGCTTGGCAGTAACTCTTACTTCACATGCCAAGCAATGGTTCAGGTCTCTCCTAGCAGATCAGTCAGTTTGTGGCCTCAGATGAGCTTAACATTCCTGAGACACTTCCAAGCGAACAGGAAGTTCTCAATGCCTTTGAGTTACCTCAACAACATAAGGCAAGAGAGGGATGAGCCCCTCTAATCTTATATTGACAGGTTCCATCAGGAGCTTCATAAGGTAGCTCACACTCCTGAAGAGTCCGTTTGGACTCTCATCATCATAGGAGTTTGTCTACAGACAGACCTGTGGAAAGAGCTGCAATCTGAGGGCGATGTTTCCCTCACCCACTTCTACAACCTTATAGAAAAATACCTCCGTATTGAGAACTTCGTGGCGACGCTCAACCGCCATGACCCCGACCCTTTGGGCAGTGCACCTGGTCAGGGGGAAAATAGAAGGGCTGATGGCAGGTAGGCCAATGATGATCAGCGAAAAGGAAAGAAGCAGCGATATGAGCCCAAGAAATCTTACGCCCCAGTTCCTCGTCGCGATCGTGACAAGAGTCAGTACACCTCTCTGAATGCATCAATCTCTGCTATTCTTGATAAGTCAGAAGAGGTCGGCCTGCTCAGGGAGCTTGAGCCCATGAAAAATCCCCTTTCAGCCAGAAACAGTAAAAAGTATTGTCGCTATCATCGGGATAAGAGACATCATCTGAAGAGGTTGTTGCATTAAACACTCTTCGTCGTGTCAGTCGCGAAGCGATGTGACCCTTTGCCTTTGTCGCATGTCAGTTGCGAAGCGACGTGACTTTACTTTCAACAAAAATTCACCAAGTGTAATCAGGTCGAGAACCTCGGTCGAAAACCAGAACCATCGTTATGGCACTAAATAAGATCTAGAACAGGTCGCGGACCTTAAAGAAGATCATTTTAGGTTGCCTGCATAAGAATGTTTCTGCGGCCTCTTTGCAACTATGTCGGATCGACCAGTGTCCATTCGACGCACATCAAATCAAGGCATAATTATGTAGTTCTCAAGGTTCGATCCGAAAACCTTAAAAACTAGGGGATTTTTTTTATGCCTGAAAAAGTAGGGCTGATGCCAAGCCTTGTCAGTGTGGGCGATTAGAGCTTAGGTAGGTTCTGCAACCATTCAGACGCAGCCACGTCACATGTTGACGTGAGCGGCATATTCCTGCCAGTACAGTGGGTGTGCGCCAGACTGGCGAAAGGCTGAAAATGTTTCACGTGTCCAATCCCTGCACAAGTCGAGGAAATCACTCAAGCAGGTAAGCAACATGACACAAAGAAGGATTTGCACGGCAATTTGACCCACTCACAGATTCAGTAATTATTACCTCAATTCATCCCACTATAAATAGAGGGCTCCTCTCCCGTTTGTGGGATTAACTAATTTTTCTCTAAAATAACACACTCTCTCTCTCTCTCTCTCTCTCTCTCTCTCTCTCTCTCTCTCTCTCTCGTGTATTCACTTGTATTCTCTAAGCTATAAATCAGTTTCGCTGAATGCGACTTGATCTCATATATTAATACAATACCAATAGATGTAGGATTCGCTTCTTTAAGCATCCGAACCACTTTAAACATTGTTCTTCATCCTTTACTCAATCCAATACCCCCCATATACATGTGTGTTTTCTAAGTCAACTCAACATTTCCCACGTGCGATTAGTTGGTGTCAAAATCAAGCATCAACATTATGTAAAAAATAAATTATTGAAATATTTTTAAAAAACTTAAAAAAATAATAACCAATGTTTTAACTAAAAAGTTTGAAAATTAAAAAAAATATTATATTAAATATTTAAATCTAATATTAAATTATTATTCAATGAAAATAGGTTATTGTTAAAAAAAAAAAAAAAAAAAAAAGTGAATGAAAATATTTCTAAATAAACAGTCTTGAGTAAACCCAAGGGTGGGCAGGGGAGCATATTTCTGAAACTAGTACTGCATAAATTTGCAACCAAACACTTGGCTAAAAGTTAAAAAACAACGTAGCGCTACTGTTTAATGACTTAATGCAATGCAATAGAACGCAATCCTGAAAAACAAACACACCCTATAGATTTTAAAACGGGTGATTCCGTTGCCCCATCCTTTTATTATTCTTCTTTCTTTTTAATTATAATTTAGTCTCCCTAAAAATTATTAGATAAGACAAAGATATAGAATTATTACGATCTTTTAACTCTAATTTTTATTCTACGTTATTTAAAATTTCTTTTTCTTTTTTATTGCGCTAAGAATGAAAATTAATGTATTTTTTTTATGAATAACTTATGCATCCAGTATGTTAAAAGTTTTCAAAATTACTTATATGGTGTTTAATGAACAAATATATTACTAGCAGATTTTTTACAGTTATATCGTAATTTGATCTGACAATAACATTTTTTAAAACAAAATATTAAGTGATTGTTATATAAATCCACATAAAATAAAGTATGAGATAAGTTATTAACATTTTAATAAATAAATAAAAAATTTGATTTGGAAATACATGATGTTTTTGGTAAGAAAAATGTTATCCTTACAAAGACTCATACAAAGAGGGTTACAAAGTGACATCATCCAAAAGAAAAAAACAAAGAAAAAACGGAAAAAGAGAAAGAAAGAGAGAGAGAAATCATGAAAATCAAGGGTGGGGATTATCTTTATATGTCCCATTTGTATATGTCTTTGTAAAACTAACTTGCTCATTTGGTAATTGTGTAATGGCTAAAATTCTTATCATTCCTAAAACAGCTCAAGAAGCTGTCTCATTGAATCCAAGATTTGTGTATATATATATATATATATATATTAGCAACTTTAATTAACATAAATTTATGCTTAAATACAAATAAATCAATCTTTAGACCATCCAATCAAAGCAAGAATTATGCCTAATATGTTACCACTCATCAAGGCCTTAACCAATCTTTCCTTTTCAGGTGTGTATGGTGGATACCTTGTGCTTGAATCTCCTGCAAAACTTCTGTACAGCACTCCCTTCTTGTGACTAAATGCATCAAATGAAAATTTACCATGGTACGAACCCATTCCGCTCTCTCCCACTCCGCCAAAGGGTAAGGAGGAAACTGTCGTCTGCACAATTTGTCATGCAACATGAATTTCTCAAGAGTAATACTACACTTACAAAGAAATCTTACAAAGATCTCATACAAAATGATATGACAAAAAATGAATAGAAAAGTGATTATAATAAGTTTAATTTTTTGTTTCACTCTTCCATTCATTTTTTGCCACCTCACTTTGTNCAACATGACACAAAGAAGGATTTGCACGGCAATTTGACCCACTCACAGATTCAGTAATTATTACCTCAATTCATCCCACTATAAATAGAGGGCTCCTCTCCCGTTTGTGGGATTAACTAATTTTTCTCTAAAATAACACACTCTCTCTCTCTCTCTCTCTCTCTCTCTCTCTCTCTCTCTCTCTCTCTCGTGTATTCACTTGTATTCTCTAAGCTATAAATCAGTTTCGCTGAATGCGACTTGATCTCATATATTAATACAATACCAATAGATGTAGGATTCGCTTCTTTAAGCATCCGAACCACTTTAAACATTGTTCTTCATCCTTTACTCAATCCAATACCCCCCATATACATGTGTGTTTTCTAAGTCAACTCAACATTTCCCACGTGCGATTAGTTGGTGTCAAAATCAAGCATCAACATTATGTAAAAAATAAATTATTGAAATATTTTTAAAAAACTTAAAAAAATAATAACCAATGTTTTAACTAAAAAGTTTGAAAATTAAAAAAAATATTATATTAAATATTTAAATCTAATATTAAATTATTATTCAATGAAAATAGGTTATTGTTAAAAAAAAAAAAAAAAAAAAAAGTGAATGAAAATATTTCTAAATAAACAGTCTTGAGTAAACCCAAGGGTGGGCAGGGGAGCATATTTCTGAAACTAGTACTGCATAAATTTGCAACCAAACACTTGGCTAAAAGTTAAAAAACAACGTAGCGCTACTGTTTAATGACTTAATGCAATGCAATAGAACGCAATCCTGAAAAACAAACACACCCTATAGATTTTAAAACGGGTGATTCCGTTGCCCCATCCTTTTATTATTCTTCTTTCTTTTTAATTATAATTTAGTCTCCCTAAAAATTATTAGATAAGACAAAGATATAGAATTATTACGATCTTTTAACTCTAATTTTTATTCTACGTTATTTAAAATTTCTTTTTCTTTTTTATTGCGCTAAGAATGAAAATTAATGTATTTTTTTTATGAATAACTTATGCATCCAGTATGTTAAAAGTTTTCAAAATTACTTATATGGTGTTTAATGAACAAATATATTACTAGCAGATTTTTTACAGTTATATCGTAATTTGATCTGACAATAACATTTTTTAAAACAAAATATTAAGTGATTGTTATATAAATCCACATAAAATAAAGTATGAGATAAGTTATTAACATTTTAATAAATAAATAAAAAATTTGATTTGGAAATACATGATGTTTTTGGTAAGAAAAATGTTATCCTTACAAAGACTCATACAAAGAGGGTTACAAAGTGACATCATCCAAAAGAAAAAAACAAAGAAAAAACGGAAAAAGAGAAAGAAAGAGAGAGAGAAATCATGAAAATCAAGGGTGGGGATTATCTTTATATGTCCCATTTGTATATGTCTTTGTAAAACTAACTTGCTCATTTGGTAATTGTGTAATGGCTAAAATTCTTATCATTCCTAAAACAGCTCAAGAAGCTGTCTCATTGAATCCAAGATTTGTGTATATATATATATATATATATATTAGCAACTTTAATTAACATAAATTTATGCTTAAATACAAATAAATCAATCTTTAGACCATCCAATCAAAGCAAGAATTATGCCTAATATGTTACCACTCATCAAGGCCTTAACCAATCTTTCCTTTTCAGGTGTGTATGGTGGATACCTTGTGCTTGAATCTCCTGCAAAACTTCTGTACAGCACTCCCTTCTTGTGACTAAATGCATCAAATGAAAATTTACCATGGTACGAACCCATTCCGCTCTCTCCCACTCCGCCAAAGGGTAAGGAGGAAACTGTCGTCTGCACAATTTGTCATGCAACATGAATTTCTCAAGAGTAATACTACACTTACAAAGAAATCTTACAAAGATCTCATACAAAATGATATGACAAAAAATGAATAGAAAAGTGATTATAATAAGTTTAATTTTTTGTTTCACTCTTCCATTCATTTTTTGCCACCTCACTTTGTATGAAAATCTTTGTAAGAGTTCTTTGTAAATATAGTACTATTGATTTCTCAATTACTTAAAACCATCATTAATGTATCTGTGCAAAAAAATGTATGTATGTACATCAACACGAATTATTTATGCTATATGCTGAACCCCTAATAAATGATTAAGAAAAACTTCAAATGATATCTGCCTTTCATTATATAATTTGAGCAGAAAGCCTATAAAACAATTATAGAAATGGGTGTTTTCAATGCACGGATCTGAATTTTGGGAGAAGTTGAATGAGGTCATGAGTTGAGATTATTAAGTAAAGTTTTGAAAGCAACTACTTATGTGACACTGGTGACATAAACTTTTATGCAGAGTGGTTGGCATGTGTTACTATGAGTTTGGGGTATAGAAAAATCACATGAATGATAGCATCATTGACGAGAAGTGCCCCAGCGGATATGTTCTTTACAAAGTCTTTCTTCAGCTGCTCATCATCAGTGAAGAGATATGCGGCAAGAGGCTTTGATTTTGAGTTAATCACATTGAAGCTGTCTTCTATATTTTCAACCTTTTAACACATCAGAAGAGACATAAATTACGTACCAGTTACCTATGACTCACCAACAAGCAGCATTCATTTTATATTAGTATAGAAGATTAAGGAGAAATAGCAAAAAAACTTTGTAGCAATTGAATGATAGCATGCTAACTTTGGAAAAACTGAATATGAGCACGTGCACAAAGGGCAAATCTTCTGAATCAGGCGCAAATATATACACTTGATGTGGCATTCACCGTGACAATGGGTAGTAATGGCCCAAAGATCTCTTCCTTCATTAGCATGGACTCTTCTGGAACATCCAACAATATGGTTGGAGCTATCCTTCTGAAACATCAAAACAATAGATGCAATCCACATTTATCAGGAATATTGAAATAGGATAAAATCTAAAAAACAAAGAAATGGGAGCCAGGCTATCGAACTCACAATTGGTTTTCATCCTTTTGGCCTCCATAAACAATCTTATCAGAGACCTTGTTCTCATCCAAGAGACTTGCCAGACGTCTAAAGTGGAATGGGTTCACAATGCGAGATAGATCTTTTGATTCCATTGGATACTTCCCAAAAAATTCCTTCAGTTCATTTCTTAGAGCATCTATCTATTGAAAAGGCATGAATCAAGGAAATATCCCTTCAAACAAACATGATTTTCTTGTTCTTTTGAGACAATCTTACCAAATTCGGAGCAAATTCTTTTGTTGTTATGACATAATCAACAGCAATGCAAGTTTGCCCGCCATTGGCCATCCACTTGCCTGCTATAATCCTCCTTGCAGTAACCTTAACAGAATTATGATAATCAGATCCATATTGTAAAATCAAACGATGCATTTTTTTTTTTAGTATGAAAGATTATTACTTGTAAATTAATCTTTGAATCAACAACAGCGGGGCACTTTCCTCCAAGTTCCAGGATTACAGGTGTAAGGTGCTTTGCTGCAGAAGCCATCACAATGCGTCCTACTCTTGTACCGCCTGGACAAATTTCAAGTTTTAAACACAAGAGCTAAAGCTACTATGAAAGAAGCATCACATCATATACAGACTTGGGCATTAATTAGATATTGTATGGAAAGTTATAGTCTATAGCAGAACTTTAAAATACTTGGAGCATCTTATTGACTTCATAATATTATAAGTACAATGATAATGTGAGGTCCACCGCCAGGTTCTAAGTAAACTACAGAAACTAAACAAGATATGAGACTTTTTGAATTGGAATTGAAATGTTTTCAATGTATCAATAGCAGAAAGCATGTCCTCTACAAGTTTGTTTTACAAGGGAAGCTGAAGTTCTTGAAACTATTTATATGTTTCACTATGGTAGAGGCATTATTATGTTGAAGTTCATATGTATCACATTCACACCAATCTCTAAATTGTGGAAGACAGTAAATACTGTTGAATCCATTATAGGCAATATAGAAAAAGAAAATTGAAGGGAGAAACCTGTGAAGAAAATTTTATCCCACTTCTGCTCTAACAATGCAGATGTTTCAGCAACAGCCCCCTCAACAACTCTCACGGAGGATTTATCTACATATTCCTCTAATAATTTTGCGAGCAGCAACGATGAGGCTGGAGCAACTTCTGATGGCTTAAGGACAACAGCATTACCAGCTGCAATAGCTCCAATGACTGGATCAAGAGACAGTACTGGAAGATAGATTTTCAATGTGTTATTGAAGAAAAAATACATAGTCCACATGAAAATAATTTGATTTAGAGAAAACAAAGACAGTGAACTTAGATAAGACGATACAACAAAAACCTCGATGATTTTAAGCGAATATATGTCATGGATCTCATATTTTCACTGAGATGATGAAAACTATACCATATTTGAAACAATGCCATTTATTCAATGAATACTCCTAGTGGGTAAATAATTTTGGGGTGGCTATTTTCATAAGAAAATCATTTGCTTCAGAATTATTAATTTAGAGAGAAAAAAAAAAAAAAAAAAATCTGTGTGAGAAGACACTTCCAGGCATGGGGTTCATGCCCCCAGGCCTGTATGTGACTCCAATGCTGAGCATAGAGATATATAAAATCAGGCTAGTTGCAGCAGTGTGTGGGAAACTTATTCATCCCGTCAGTGTAGTTTTTTCTTCCTGGAAGCAAAATCATTCTTGATAATGGGAAGATCAATATTAGCTTCTACATTTAATTTAAAAAAACTCATGGGTACATATGTATTGACATGAAGTATATTTATGGGGCTCTGATTGCATTATCTACAGGTCAAAGTAAGGATTAGGAAAATTTGAATTATTGACATGATAAGATATAATAAAAAAAAAAAAAAAAATCCTAATAAATCAGTGATGAAGGGAAGGGAAGATGATTAGCCGAGTGTTAAGCTACCCCAACCACCATGGCAAACAAATGATATCATGGGTGGACCTATGTTATAACAATTTGAAAATGTGTTCATTAAGCTTTTATGCTGAGAAGTACGGAAAATGTGTCCATTGTAAACTTACTAATAATTTGAAAGCATGTTATTTTCAATGTATCATAATATAAACAATGTCAAAGCCGATTATAACTGTATGCAAGTTAAGCTCAATGTAAGTTAACATGAATCATGTTAAAGCTGACAATAAGTTGCATACAGAAGGGGTAATTCCAAGTTGAGATGACCAACACGACTCCTAGGGGTTCTGATACAATTTCTGCTGAAGACGGATATGTTGTCATTGAAGTTTTCGCCTGAAAAGTTAATGTTGCATTAGTTAAATAACAGACTTAATTCTCATCATTGGTTATAACAAAACTTGTGGCTGCAACAGTGATTACCTTCTCTGGCTTCATCCAAGATTTCAATTCTTTAAGAGCCAGCTTACATGAGCCTTTTGTCATTGAAATCTGCACGACAGAGCGTACATACTAAATATTAAACAAAAGATTGATCAAAGAAGAGAACAAATTCTTACTTAAAGCATATATATACATAGATGCTTCAACAAATAGTACTTGGATTACATGGATATCCAAATTCGAAATGTTGATGCCATATATCTGTAAAGCTTATAATAAGTATATTTTAGTAGGATATATAATTATTTTTGTGTTCCTACTTTCTTGACTAGTTGTGTGCGTTCTTAGGCTTAGAATCAACTTCCAAAAGTTGAGCTCTAAGGCCACATGGTTCCTCTGGGTCCATGACAATAAGCCAGAATTGTGACATATAAAAGAAGTTGTAAAACTGGAAGATTACAATTCATATGGACAAAAAGAGAGATGATAAAATTAACCTCAGATACAAAGGATTCAAATTGGGGCTTGGAGAGGTCCTCAAAAAGAGCTTGAATAATCTCCCTCTCATTTTCTTCAATCATCTTAGCAATACTCTGTAACTGCGATATTCTCCACTCATAACTCTTTGTCTTTCCTGAATTAAAGCTCGTTCGAAGCTCCTTCATCAACAACCCAGCTTTTTCTACATCAAATCTTTCTCTTTCTCTCTGTTCCGTGGTCATTTCTGATAGTGTCACTGAACAAACTTCGAATATGCAACACATATATGAAAGTTCATAACAAATTAAAAAAATAGAACAATTAAAAATAACAGCAATTATATATATACAAATTTCAGATGCCGATGTTCACAATGTAAAAATGCTTACTACAGACTGCAAAAGGTTCACCAGCTTAACAAAATGCAAATATCATAGCTAAGAAATGTAAGTATGCTTTTAAATTGTTTATTAACCACACTTTAAGTTAAGATTGTAGGTTTGTACTTAACAATTTTTTACACACATATATATAGATACAAAAATTTTTAAATAAAAATGTCCCCATTTTTCAAACATCCACACTCCCATCTACTTGCATAAAGTGTAAACATATTACCAGCATGAGTATAAAGAGGAAACTGAGTGCAATTCTTGAAGCGAAGAGTTGAACTGAAAGTTGGTTTTGTAGTGTAACAATATATGAATGATTTGTTGAAGCTGCTAGCCCCACCAACACTACTGCAACTTCAAATAATGAGAAACGCTATTGGTATGCAAATTAATTAAAAAACTATTATGTTACAAGTTAAATTAATTACAATTTAAATTAATTACAATTTAATTAAATATTCTATTTAAAAAAAAAATTAACATAAATTATTGGACATTAAAAACCACCCGTGAGTTTAACAAAAGCATTACCAAGATGTTTATACAAAGATCATCTCTGTCTTTGATCAAATACCACTACTAGTACTAATTAATGACAGAGTCGTCCTTTCCTTTTTACTGTTGCTGCAGGTTTTATGTGTTAGTAAGAAAAGATTTCGTTTCATTTAATAATAATTAAACCAGTCTTTCCATAGCAATAAGAGTTGTTTTCCAAGGCACACATTAAAGACAGTAATATTTAATATTTCAATATATTTTAAGTTACATAATAAATAAGTAAATTTATTATGAATACAGCCATAGCAATAAACTATAAATAGGCTTCATAATATTTTAAAAGTAAGGAAGGACATTATACTATCATAAACAACCATTATGGAAATAATAAATGACACATATTCAGGACTGAAGAGTCCTTCCATACAGAATTATTAAAGAAAATGAGACGTTATCAGCAATAGGGGCCTGGGTGACAATTTAAAACTTAAAGGTGCTCCACTAAATTTTTGATAAAAAAAAAAATGGAATTCAGGGTGCATAGCACCCACTCACCCTGGTTCAGTACTGCAGTCCACCATTCACTCAAATAAATTATTAGGGCCGGCAGGCGGCAGGCCATATTTCCTCTTTGACTTTCTGTTAATTTTTTTTTTTCTTAATCTTACTGCCATAATTCTTGAATGAATTATTAAATTTTTATAAGTGATTTTTCTGTATCTTACCTATCACTTAACGTTTACAAAGCTATTTTTAATCTCGAAAAGCTTATGATTTAATCCGAAAACCAAAGTGATTTCTGTGATGAAACTTTGTGATTTTTTACATTAATTCTAAATTTGGTAAGAGTACATAAAAAAGCAAATCGTCCCCAGAAAAGAAAGCACAAAAATATTCAACAAACTAAACACCTCGTTTAATGAACAATATATCAAGTAGTGATATATAAGAAGTCACGAAACTTTGGAAGTTGAATTTAAGAAGAAGAAAAGGGAAAAGTCGTGTACCTGCAATGTTGAAAAGGCAGAACAGAGAGGGTTCTCATGGTGGTGAGAGGTTTTGCAGGATCATATAATCTCCTTAAAAGCTTTTAAAGTTCTGTAACTTGTGCATCATTTTCTCCCTTGAGTTGATTGATGTTGATGGGTTGGTGAGTGCGGTGCATGGAGATAAACATTTGAGGGAAAAAAACAAAAACCTTCTTGAGAATTTTCTCACCCTTCAAAATTTATCCAGAGACAATATGCTGAGTGGGGACTATAAATCAGACCGGAACTTTGTGTGGCTAGTGCATTTACCTGCCTAAATAAATATTTAAGGGTTTTTAATCAATAACCATATTTCTTCGGACTTTTACGTAATTAACAAAAATATAATCTATTACCCATATAACTACCAATCAGTATTTTTCCGAAAATGCCGCATATATAAACACAATTTTTCCTCCATTCTCCACCATTTCCAAAAAAACAAACGGCTTTGGAGCCGATTCCCATTTAAAAAAAAAAAAAAAAATCGATCTATTTAAAGTGTTTTTCACGAATCAATCAAAGATTTAACAACGATTTTGAAGAGTTTAGGGGGAAAAGATGGGAGAAAAATTTAACATAAGACAAAATCAGAAAGAAAAAAATATAAAATTAAAAAAAGAAAGTGATCACAAACTGCGATCTCAGGATCGTAGCTAAATTATTATTTTTTTCAATTTTTTTTTGTGTTTGTTAAATTTTAAAATTAAAAATATAATATTATTTTTAATAAAATACCTTTATTGGAATTTTATATATACTAAATTTTATAGGAATATTAAATTTAACATTTTTCAATATTATTAAATATAAATTTAATATATCTCTTGATGTAAAATTTGCACCGATTAGAGTGATCCGATTGATCTTGGCGAAATTGGAACGGGTGTATGCATGATTAATGATAACCATCAATTGAATGAATATAAATGCAATAATGTAAAGAACACAGAAGGTTTTTAAAATGGTTCGACGAGTTTCGATCTTGAGCCTACGTCCACTGTATTTCTTATTGCATTTAGAGCTTACAAGAAAGTAATTTTATGCCTAGAACAATTTACTAACCCTTTTCCATCGTTGGAAGGGGTTTATGTACAAGTTTTGTACAAAGGAAAGAGCGAAATTAAAGAAATTATAATTAAGATTGAAATGCAACTCCGATATTCTCGCGATTGAGAGCTCAGATCGCACCATTATTGCTGTTGATCTGATCCCTTTCGAAATATCCGAGATTTGAGTTTATCTGTGATCTGCTTGAACAACTATCGAGATTGGTCGCGACTAGCTTATACTGGGTCAAGCTATGTCTCGATGAGCTTATGTTGGGTAAGACAATTATTTGAGTTGAACTGACTTTGGGTCGGACTATAACCTCGCAGAACTCTGACTTCTCTGAGCTTGATGGAAAAATCACACACAACATCTGCCTCGTAGCGTTTGGTGCTCATTTCGAGCTTTGAAGACTAATTGCTCGATTTGATGTCAAGCTCGGACTTCATAGTTGTGTATTGAATGCAGATTTTGTCGAGTTTCCTGAATCGGGCTTCATCTCAGTCGATGTGACTAAGACTTGGCCTTTTTTCTACTGTGACATTCTCGATAAGCTTGGAACTTGAAACGAGGGGTATGCGAGTAATTTCCATGCTGTCATGTTGCATTAAATGCAGCCGATTTTTGCAGTTACTTTTCGTCGTGCATGGGTGACTACAACTATACATGCGCGAAGTCGAGGCGATATGCAACGAAGGTTATGATTATAGCAATCTGACGATTGATCGTCTCTCGTGGATGATCGACATGTGGCCACATTGAACGATCAGGATTGCTCGATGAATGGAGGGTCGAGTTTTGCTGTAGATCGACGGTTACGGTCGAATCTTGTCTCTTCGTCTCCCATGCTCACCGCTATAAAAGTGGACATTCTTCATCAGAACACACACTTGCAACATATTTGAAGCCTTGTTTTGTTGCTTTTGCTCTGTCGTTGCTCTCCCGACTTCACGGTGATTTTCCACCACTTTTACGCTTCGGTAAGGCTCATGTCTTCTCTCATACTCATACTAAACCTTTTTTTCTATTGAGGGTGGCCATTGTCGTGGCCACATTAGCATTTTTTAGGGTTTTTGAGTTTTTCTATCGTTTTTAGGCTTTAAAAGGGTTTAAGGAGGTGGCTGCTGGAATCCTAGTAGCTCGCTTATATCTATTGGTCAATGCGAGCTACCTTGGGTGCTTGAACTGAAAGCAAAGTGTGGATAGATCATTGAATTTTTTAGCTCTGACACTTGGTCGCTATTGTTTCAGGTATCCAGAGGCGATCTTCCATCATGTCTTCGTCTAGCAACCACATCATAGACCAACTGTTTGATTCCCCAGTGACCTCGGCTGTTTGCGGGGAAATAGTCTCAGTGGTTTTTGAGTACTTTGTAGTACAGAGCTCGAGCCTCGATACAGCAGGATCAGCTGATCGTGCTTCTGTGGAGACTCCTCCATCGAGGAAGTCTCCAATTCATAGGCCTCGAAAGGAACCAAGTTCCTCGATTGGGGCCGAGGATATTGAGCGCATAACAAATGTTTATGTGCCTCAATTTCCTCTAAGGGCTCTGGGAAACTTCTCCCGAAAAAATCCCCCGAAGGTTGGGCAGCGATTTCAAATACCCTCTTGAGGTGTAAGATGTTTGTTCCCCTTCATTTTTTCATCACTAATGTCTTGAATAGGTTTGGAATAGCTCTCCTTCAATTGACGGGGAACTCATATATAATAATAATAGGCATGTACATAACGTACATGATAGCTGAGCTAGGTGAGCTATCTATAGAGGAGCTTGTCCACTTGTACAGACTGAAGAAAAGTCAGGACCAAACATACTACCTCTCAAAAGCGAGGAAAGTACATTTTAATGGTTTGCTGAAGTCTCAAAGAAGATTTCGCACTGGGACTTACAATATTTTTCTGTAAGTCCGAGGAGACTGGTACTTTCACCTCAGAAGCTAGTAAGATTTCGACCTTTTTGCAACCAAAGAATGTTTCCTGGCTCGGCAAGCAGACTGACTTCATATTCTCTTTGTTTTGCAGTAAACATCGAACAGAACTTCCTTCCTCAGGCAAGCTTAGAGCGGCTTAAGCGATTTAGCGATCTCTGCAATAGTGAGCGCGACGTTACCGAGCTCATCACGCTTTCTCAATTGAAAGCGTATCACTTCTGCATCGACAAAGCCAAGTTCTATACTATTTTTGAAAAAGGTAAGTGCTTGATACTTTGTTGTGTCGCTAACAACTTGCCTTTTTTTTTTTGCAAACATGTGGGCCGAAAAACTCCAAGGGCCTAAAGAAGAAAGCACCAGCCCGCGAGGTTGCCAAGAAGCCATCAATTATTATGGCAAAGAGGCAGCCCCCAGACACTATCGAGGTGGCCGACAAGGTATCTCATCCCCGGTCCTAAGCACAACGACGGTGAACTTAGGGAAGGCCTAAGTGTTAGTGTATATTAGTGTATGCCCTAGAAACCATTTGTGTTGTCGGTTTTAAAGCATTTTGTCTTGTATCTATATATCATAAATAATAGAAGAAAGAGTTCTTCAATTCATATATATAAATTGCTTCCTTTATTTAGTCATGCATTTAAAATAAAGTATGTATATGAATTGTCCATATGATTCATTTAATCGGTAAATGAATTATTCAAAAGGGTTCCCTAAGGAAGTAATATAATTTGGGCAATTATATTGCACAGTAGGCATATCGGATGCTTCCGAAAGATATCATGAGTTGATATAAGTACGGATAACGATGATAGTCATGTCACTGGGGCATTGGTATGGATTAGCGGTTAGTGAACTGTTTTTTCGAACATGACCGAATAACAACAAATCACTTGGAAAAGCATGTAGTCAATGATTTATCAATTGGTTATATCAGTGCACGATGTAGTCCTTTGACCTGAGACATTGTAGTCGAATCCGATACGAATGCGTATGGTTCACACAGTATATAAGTACGAGACTAATCATGTTTCGTATAATAAAGCCTATTTAGTCATGCATTGTTCATATGCGGAAACAAACGATGGTCAAGAGGGGATCCATTGACTCAGAAATATAGGATCGGGAGTACCGCTGACTTCATCCGGATTCGAGTTCCTCGACGAATGTCGATAAATGTCGGAAATCAAAATCTCTAGCCATAGTCTATTATTAGTCATGCAAAAGCAAGCTTGTGATGATGAGTTTCGGACATATTGATCGACGATTCGGTGATTTTGACGTCCATGAATCCGTGCTTGATCAAGATATTTCAATGGAAGGAATTTACCTGCATGGTACGTATGATCTGAAATGGGTTTGATGAAGTATTTCTTCATCATGGTTTAGGGACTATGGCACATTGCTAGATGTTTACTATAGTCGTTGGGCCTCTGGACAGGTTTTTAGATTCATCTAGAACCGGCTCATGGCTAATCCACGGTGGACCTGCATGGTCACACCAATAGCCTTGAGAAGTTAGAGAACGATGAGAGAGAAAAATGATTATCCGAAGAAGGCTAGCACCTTCCGAGGGTAATGTTGGGATTTCTATGGCAATAGTTATATAGAAAATTGTTTGTGACATTTTAAGGGTTAAAATGGTCAAGCAATAATTACTTATATTTAATTATTATATCTTAAAGCGTTAAGATTAATGAGATGAACAAAAATAACCTTTTAATAGTTAAAAGGTAAAAGGGTAAATTTATGGGTTGTTAATGTAAACTAGTTTAGTTTACATGGGCCCTTGAATAATATTGATTCTTCAAAGGGTAGCATAATAAATTCGTGGGGTCCCTTTTAAAATAAGATTTTATTGGGCTTGGAAGTGAAAAACAAATAATTACAAAATTGCCCAAGTATATATAAATGCAAAAGGTTGCATTTTAGTTCATTATTCACATAGTTCACTCAAAGCAAACTAAAAAGCTCTCTCCCTAGCCACGACCACTCTCTAACTCTCTCAAGGTGGTGTTAAAGTGTGGAGGTCTCATCATTTTGAGGCTAATCTTCATCAATCCAAAGCAAAGGAGTAGGTATAATCTCTTTTCCAAGCTTTGTTTGAAAACCGTTTTTGAAATCCAACCTTTCATGCTTTCAATTTTCATTTCCACCACTCTTCATGCATGTTGTTCTTATACTAAGTACCAAGAAGCTCGTGACTGCTTCTAAGGCAGTCGGGGAGAAAGGTGCCTCGA